CGCAACGGCACCAACCCACCTCCCCTCTCACACATGGTGTACGCAACTGCACCGACCCCCTCCCCTCACACCCATGGTATACGCAACTGCACCGACCCCCTCCCCTCACACCCATGGTGTACACAACGGCACCAACCCCCCCTTCCCTCTCACCCATGGTATACAGTGTAGAATGATGGTCAGTATGGTTTCCCAATTTATTTGCCTCGTTGTGCAGCATTACGTGCTGAAGAGCGTGGCGTCGGCAGTCTGTGTTTCAGGTTTTAGAAACCTTTTCTATACCCTGACTTGAATCATTTCGGTTACTTTTTCGACATACCCTCTAGAATCCTTTTATTAATCTTGTCAAGATTTCATTTCTCTAGAAAGTAGATTGTTTATCCGTGAACAATAGTTTCCATAGACTTAGCAATGGGCGACTCTCTTTATGAAAACCCCACAAAGTGTAATTACCTTGTGAAGCCCACCCTTACACAGTCAACTGTGGAATATCTTCCGGCAATTTGCAGAGAGAGAAAAACGGAACAGCAATTATGGAAACAAAACTAACAAATGGATCAGAGGAGCCATCCATCAAGTCGTTGTTAGTTTGTCAGCTCAGATCGCTGTTCCTGTCTTCACATCCTTGACCGTTCAATGGATCTGTTCCTAAGTCCCCCTAAGTCGTCATAATCCGGGATTTTAACAATACGACGGAAAACTACATGTATTGGGAGAAAAAAATGACCACACCTGCGACGTTCTGAAATTACCACATGCCCAATTTACTTTTATTCACACATGCATGCTTACAAGTGTGAAAGTCTTCTATGAAAATGGCTGATACCTCCTTAATTCTTTGTACAGTATTAATTTATACCAGAAAACGGAGAATAGAACCAGGATCCCCTTCCATCATCTTCTTAACAGTCCAATATAAAATATATCTCAATTCTAAGTACAAGAAAAAGGGGACTTTCCCAAGCATACGCTGATTGCACGAGAGTAATTTGAGTACGGAATAAGCTGGAATCTCGACGATCATCAGATTCTAAAATCTCATTCCAGTGATTATCAGGAGAATCAGCTAAGGTCTTAGTGCTCTTTGCCAAGTTATTTAAGACCCATTATTAATTGTAAGGGTGAGGAAATAAATGGGATTTCCTTAATTGGAGGAGAAAGGTGTAGTTTTCTCTCAGCCTGGGTGCAGTTGGCAAGGATGACGCCCATAGGCAAGGTTGCAATCGTTTCGGAAGAAAAGAAAAAAATGTAAACCGACAAACCACACGTTGCCCACCACTGCACTGAAGGGACAGCACCACTTTGTTATAAGAGAAAAAAAATCGACATGCCCTTCTGGTGTGTGGTTAGGTTTGTTTAGGGTTCTTGTTAAGTTAGGATAAAATAAAACGCTGGGCACTGAATTGTGTAAATTCTCCTCACTTTCAAATCTCTTTCAAAATTATATTATAACCACACGCTTCTGGGAAAAAATGTCGTTACCGTGGCAATAGAAGTCATATCATGCCTGACAACGAACCATTTTTGTGTTCATTCCCCATTGTATCCAAGCAGCGCTCGCAGAGAGACACGAGCGATACCTTCCTACAAATCACGCAAGTCAGTTTTCCTATCACTTAGATCAGGCATTCCCATTGAACTTTTGTCCCTCTCCAGATTTCAGGCTGTTGAATAGCCCCTGACTAAACACCGGTAGTTAATGCACACGTAAGGCCGGCCTGGACCCTGTAGTACTTCGAGATTAAAGGTAAACTGTTAGTTTGACAGTCTGTCTGTCTCTCGAACGGAGCAATTCTATTGGTTGATCCGGAGCTAGAACATTCATTCACTACTCGCGTACAAAACCGGTCACGGATAATTTCCCTCAAAGCCCCACGCAGGCCTGCATTGAAACACTCCAATCTGCGATTCATACCCCAACGTTGAGCTATATAAACTCCAGACTCTGGGTGAACTCCAGCAGTTAAGTTGACAGAGTCAATTTTGTGAGCATCGACAATTGAATCAACCAGCCACTGCTGATGTAATACTACAGGTCTTAGAGCGATCCAGAGAGTGAACGGCACCCTGCGGACGTGCGATGCGTCTGTCTGCAGATGACTTTTCGCGAGACGAGGGTTAAAATTCTGCCGAACAAAAAAAATATTAAAGAATATCAAAAGAAATCTTGAACTGACAGCAGAGTTGTAACATCTGAAGTGTACGTGTTAACCAAGCTTCCTGCTTTGAAGCAGCGCTGGACTTTAGTGATCTACGGTGAAACTAAGCAGTCTGACTGCAGCTTTTTAATGATAAAAAGCCTTTTTCCTGATTTAACAAACCAACAAGCATCTCAGCATCGGTCCTGATACATTTCCACCATCTTGGAGGTCTACCTAGTCCCGTCTGGATCCCTTGCACGGGGCTTAGTCTCCAAGTTCAGGTGTTTCAGTAGACTCGTTTATCGATCTCAGTAAATTGAAAATCATCACTTCGGAGTTTTACAACCATGTGGGGATTTAGGCTACGACCGTCCATGGGATGTGCGGCATTGCTGGCAGGCGTGCTTGGAATGTTTCTGGTGAATAACGTGGACGCCTATCTGCACCGATATGGGTAAGTCACACACCCCCTCGTAAAAATTGCATGTTTATAAGTGCAAGCGTAGCGGGATTTAGTTATGTTAGTATAACCAGTCAACCGCATATTGACATTGGTACGTGTATTATCTATGTACAGTCCACGCTTCAAGGGGATTAATGGGCTTATCTTCCGCAGTTACGTCAAGTAGTGTTTTCTCAAGACCACTTTTTTTTAAACCTTGCTACACCTTACTACCTTTGCTGTTTCCAGGTAGATTTTGTAATGCAAACCTACATGTACTTCTAGTTCTTTGTTACTTGTAATTTAATTCCGAAGGAAGAAGGTTGAAAGGACTCGCACTCTAAACGTACTGTTATTTTTAAAGCCTTCCAAATTTTCGGAGCTTTGAAACGTCATACATGGATTGTTCTTTTTAGTGGGTGGGTGAAAACAACCAACATGTCCAAAGGAATGAAGCTGTGGACTGGAGATGAGCCCAGGTCACTTCAGGTTCATGCGCGCCAAGTTTGTGACTTTTTCTTGCGGCGAAAGAGTTCATTACATTATAGTTTTTAAAGGTATATAAGCATTTAAAAAATTATTTGCTGTAAACAAAACTGAAAACTTTGGTAGCAAAACGATCCAGTTCTCCATGTTTTAATTTTTCTCTGGTGCTTACACTAAAGTTACAGAAAACAAACCGGGGTCAGCAGACGGGAATGACAATATTAGGTCGACCTTGTTGCGAGTTGCAGTCTATTCATTCTGAAATTTATCCAAAATAAAGTGCCGCATGGTCGTTGCTGACGGACGCAAAGATATCTGTTTACAGTTGATTTCACTGAAGAAACACGACTTTTGGACTTGTTTTTTTTTTTTTTTTTTTTTTTTTGGGTGACAGTTTCCGACAGGCGATAGTATGCGTGTGACTCGACTATAGGTCTTCGTTGTGAGCACCCTGGTTGTTCACACTCCATCTGTTGGAGAAAGACTGTGCCTAACTTGGTGTTCAAGACAAATTGGCGTTTTCCGGCGCGGCTGTTGATACACTCTTGGATATATAAGGTTCTTAAAGTTTCTAGGCATGCGCATGCATGCTGTTTTCAGTTTCTGTAATTTCATTTGAAAACTGTGTAATACGACTACAGACAGGCGATGCTAACGTGGTGCACCTTGTCATACCTGCTCTGTCGCGTTTTCCTGAAATGTAAAGGTAATGAAATTCTGGTATTATTAATTCTGTTAAAAACCTTGCGTTTACTGACCTAAAGAAGTTGACAAGACTTAAATGTCTGGGGAAAAGTCGGAAGTGCGCCAAGTAAGGAGACTCCCTTCTGGTGTTTGTGTTAGGCCGTGGTAAAACATTATATTGGTGCTGCCAAAGAAATTGTGAAATGTTTGATTTTGAAGAGTCCTGAACAATTTAAATCTCAGTTTCTAGGATGTTTTTACCAAAATGCCTACAAACAAAACGTTTGCGCCTTTATGTTAAAATATTATTATGTCTCACCCGGGGCTATAGTCATGTCACGTGAGTCATGATGAAATCGGTCATGTGCTCATTCTGTGTATCATGGACTTGCGCAAGTAAAGAAGATAACAGACGTAGATCCAAAGGGGTGCTTTTGAGGATCCATTCCCCGCGCTGACAAAAAATTTAGTTTATGAAAATGAAAATAAATACATGTAGTAATGATACTGGAATCCTTTCACGTGTATGAAGTTTAGTGCATCGGCAACGGTGTAATGGATATGTACCTACATCATGTATGCGTCTGCCTGTCAGCATTAATCGGACACGGGACATCCGAGAGGTCTAACCCCCCCCCCCACACACACACAGAAAAGTTCCTAGATCCGCCCCTGAATGGCGGTGGCAGGTACAGTCTGTAAATGATTACTCTTTGGGTCGAGTTGGTGGGCACTGGGCAGTTGCTTTTAGTAGGCCTACTGCTTCGCCAAAGGTTACGATCCTCATGAAACCTAATTCAATTCGAATCAAACCATTCATTAAATCGAAATGAGAATATTACACAGTAATTCGATGGACTAGTAAAACGGTAATTCAGATTTCCTCTCATTGGTGGCCCTCAGACATCGAGACCATTCGCACACAAAACGGTCAGTAAACTGCTCATGCATGGATTGACAAAGAGAGGTCAACCTTTAACCCGATGGAGTCGAGCATTACTGGGAGTATTGTGGTTTACGCATGGGGTTTAAGGAGAGCAGCATCATGCCATTGAGTCATGAGAGAGCGGACGCGACAACGGACAATGCGTAAAATACTCAAAGTTCACTGACTTATTTTGTTTCCGAGCTAATCTCAGCCCTGGGCACATTTTGTGTCAATTTTAAAACAAATTTGACGAGAGCTTGACGTTGTCCATGCAGTTTTTTCACTGCCAGCAGACAGTGACCTGCGTAATTTCTCTTCGCAAAATAAAGTTTTTATGCGCTGAGCAGAGCCTTTGAAACTGTTCAACATTCCTTGCTTTGTTTTTGAATGTCTACGGCGTTAACCACGTGCCAACGTGTCGTTAGGAAGGACAACCATTGACCTTCAAACTCTCTTCCTAATCAAAATAGCTCTCATCTGGCAAAAACATCATTTCCGAGCTGTGAAATAAAAGCTGACTTTGATTGCTCTATCTAACATACCCGTCAGAGAAAAATTCTGAGAAAAATTGTACCTCCCAACCTGTTGATATAGAATTCGAGATAATAGGATTTTTTTCTGACCAAGCTTTTGATGTTAGCGGGGGACTTGACACCATGTCGAGCCCAGGTTCAGTCATCAACCAAAAATCTTCGGCTCTGTTTGTTTTCCCCCTGTGAGAACATTTCCCAGACTACTAGACCAATACAGTGCTATCAAAGTCTCGGTACAAATACAAACACGATGTACATGTAGTATACCGAGACTGCACGTGGCTCCACAAAACCGGATTGGGGAGAGTCAACAAACATGGCGAAGATAAACAGACGAGGGAACAGATAGGTAGACACGTGTTGCGTGAATTCCTTGACTCGCCAGGCTCAAATACATTCATACTGTCATGCTCTGGAGGCCAAACTATGAGTATATTGATCCAGAAATGTCAACGAGGTTTTTCCTGGCTCTCTTTGAGAGAACAAGTTGAAGCTGTGGTATCAAAGAACCATACGTCTGGGATTGGTGGAATAATCTGTGGTGCGTGCGTTGGAAATCAAATAGCAACCCAAAAGAGGGACTTCATGTCGTTGCACCTGTGACAGAATCGTGATCATTTAACTTGAATAAAGCTGCACAACTTGCCCTTCTTTGTGATTGCCCCTGATCTACAGGTCATGATAAAGTTTGTACCGTGCACCATCTCAGGCCTCTCAAGAAGGGGTAGAACTTTAGATTTCAAGCTTCTGTGGTGCAATAGTACTCCGCTGTTCAGAAATTATAGGCCTGTATAGACACCTAATTTGATAGTTGAAAGTTGAGATCAACTTGAAAAGCAAACTTGAAATGGACGAGGTTTCAGCTGTCAAGAATGATTTACCTACATACTTGCCACTCAACTTAATTTTGATTTGTATCATTCCGCTAAAATTGGTGGTAAAATTTGTTCATGGGCTCTGCCAATTCTCACACAGTTTCGCGTGGTCTGTTTTCCTGATCAGTTACCGATAAGAATCAATCGGAATATACACCCTTGAGCATTCTCGAGGATATTGTGAAATGACTGTTAACTTTCCACCAGTGACAATATAATTGGTGACATCAAAGCCACAGCCGACGTCATTAGTTTCACACGAACCCGTCGATGCGAATAATACCCTTCCCGGAGTCCCACTGTTGTTCATTGGACTCTGCGAAATAGAGGTGAGGTACCGTGATGACTCGCGCATGTGTCGGCCGTCAAATCGACGGATTTCACGGGCTAGGTCACCAGCTGTTGGTGGCCTGAAATCCCGGTGGGACTGTAGCTGAACGGACTCTCCTTGGACGAAGTTCGTACGCACCATCTGGTTTAGAGATCCCGACCATTTTTGCCCGGATGAAACTTGGAAGGGGCTTGTTACAGGAGCTCCTTAGTAATAAATATTGGTGAGCAAAATCTGGCTCTAGACGAAAGTCAGCCTGGAGCCAGTCTCATCTTGTATACATATGGTATCTTATAAATATTTACTGGCTGCACCTTTTAAATTTTCCAGATTAAAAGCTGTAACAAAACGGCACAACCTGTCGCCTGTCAAAAAGCGATAAAACGTTGTAACCTGTAAGACTATAGTACGTAACACCAGTAAGTGAAGATATTTCACCTTATAGAGGCTTTGCATGGTAGCCATCTTGCAGGGCAGTTCTTTGTTCTACAGGGAACCCCTCGGTGCATAGGCCTACTCTGCGGAACAAAAGCACTGGCCCTCAAGATGACAGCCACGCAAAGCCTATTATGCACGGTTTGCGTTTCACGTGCTACCATGTCACGTTTGAAAGATGCTGGTTTCCCGCGTTTTATCCTGCGTTGCGATCTTCAGTACCGAAATCTGATATAGCAGTTAGGGAATAAAATGTTTATTAAATTGGATATGCAGACGAAAACCCAACAATAAATAAACCGAAACCGGTAAGCAAAATGGATTAGTATCGAAAACAACCATTCCTTCTGTCGATATCAATTATTTACCTTAAAGGCTCTTGGTGAGACATAACTCAGCAGTGGTAAAGCTGCTCTCGCCGTTTAGAGTTTCGCCGTAAATTTTGCGGTGAGTTTACAAGTGCATGTTTTCCAAATACCTCCAGCACCCTGCTGCTTGTATAGCACAAACAAAAATGGAGGCGACAAAAGACTAACCTACACCTCCCCTGGAGAATGTTTCTCATTTTCAAACGCCTGAATTTGCTTCTTCTTTTTTTTTCTTTTTTCTTTTTTTTGCATCAAAGCATAGACGTAATTAAGTCAGAATTATGTTTGAATTATTGTGCATCCTTATATCAAATGGTATAATTTTCCGTTGGTGGTCATTTCTTTCTTGCACCTTGAGCTAAGGCTAGTCCG